TCATTTGTAGCGTATATGAATTGATCAACAAAAATTTCTAGAATTGATTTCCAAATTTGGAAATCTCCCTGACTGTATTAAAATGTGCAACAGAATGCCTAATAGGATTTTGCACCCTGGTCTTCATCACCTTGTTTGATGCTACCCTTGTTGTGTAATCCATCAAAATAAATCATTAGTTATTTAGTCATCTACATTCATTTATCAGTCAGAAGTGAAATTGGATTGGTCAATTCTTTAGATGCAAAAAGAATAATTTTATTATTTGTATTTCAAATTCAAGTATGTTTTAAGGATATATAAAGTAAATTACAAAACCAAGAAAATAAGTATGTTTTAAGAATTATTAAAATTCAGAGGTACATTTTAAGTGTATAATTAGGATATCTACATTCCTGTTACTGTAAGAATGTTTTAATTATAAAATAATTATATTCATACATATTTTGCAAATAATTAGTGAATCAACTTTTTTGATTTAAGTATGTTTTGACTTATGTTTTAAGTATGTTTTGTAAAAATTAAGTAGAAAATAAGTATCTAAACTTTTTATAGGGGTATAAACTAGAATAATTAAGAAAAATATCACTACTAATTATTACATAATTTTAATATGTTTTAGATAATTGATGATTTAAAATGATAATTCTAATTGCATTACTCAAAACCTTATGCCTGCTCATTATAAATCAACTGTTATATTATCCTTCAATATTATTATGATAACAAATTATAAATTACTAATTATAATGCTTCAAAGACTCCAATAGGTGGTAAATCAATTTAGTTGTATCTCACTTCTTCTACTCTCCATTCTCTTGCATTTAGCCCATAATATGAATGTGGCTTTATTTTACCTAAAGATCTTACAATTAAAGTGTGACGTTTTGTCATTTTAAATTTATGTAATTAAAAACTGATTCAGGGTTCTGACTGTTAATTAGTTTCTTATGGTAATTAATATAATGAAAAGTAATTTGTATTTTTGTAAATTTGTATAGATCGGTATGTATTAGATTGTGATATATATATATTTTGTTGTTGTTTGTATATGTTTTATATGCCATTTGTAAAAAATATACTGCTTCTTTTACATGACAAAATAACTTAATACCCATTTCGTTGGAATTCTAGAATCCCTATGAATGTTTGATGTGCCTACCCTTTAAACAAAAATAACAAAATCACGTGATATTGCTTATTAAATACTTGTCGCGTCACTATTTCTTGTCAAAACTCTTTTTTTTTTAAAAAAACAAACATTCATACATATTTATGAGGGACAATTGATTATGGTACTGACAAATGGAGTACACATGGTAAAGATCTCGCTCGTGAGATGTTTGTTAGTCATCGTTACATATATCGCATTATTGAGTGTCCATCCAATCTTATTTACATCAACGTCTTCATCAAAAGCTATTAGTATGATTGGTTCAGTGTTATTATGTCCTCCCTCCTTAAAACGTTTTCTCATTCCCATTTGGGATTATTCATAAACAAAAAAATAAGTTACTTATCCTCGAGATGCATTGACATTGCAATTATTCCAGTAAGTCAATAAAAAAAAAAAACAATAATTCACAATAATACCTGAGTCAATGAAATTACCTAAAATGTTTGAAACTATTTACTTTCATCCAAGCTTGTTTATTTCCTAAATCTGTCAACCAAATTCCGTT